ACTGTCCAAGCACAATTAATTTCTTTTTTTCCTAGAGTTATATTTTTCTCTTAGCCAAAATGTATAGTTTTTTAACTTTCACCCTTGAATTTCAAATTCCTTTAAAATTAAAATTTATTTTCATGACATCCTCGGTTCAAAAAGTCACAATTCTTTTCTTTCCCCAAAATTCCTCATGAAATTCGTGACTAAGGTTGGTCATGTGTCATAACTTATAAATTGTGCCATCTTTTAAAATGATTAAAATTTAAGCAATATTTTATGGAAACATTTAATTTTGATATTCTAATTCTACAACTACTGTTCAATGATAAATAAGCTTGCTTGTTGTTTATTTTTTTTCCTCCTATCCTTTTTTTTGTGCTACCTAGGACATAACCAACTAGGCAAACTTGAGGTCAATTACCAGTAACAATGTAGTTACATTTTGTTTTTCACATGTTATATATGTCAATAGTTTCAACCTGCCAATCCAAAACTTATAACTTCACATATTAAAATAATGCACACAAGATACATGATAATCATGATACTAGGTTTTTTTTTTAGGACTAAAGGAAATACAATATTCATTATATCATAAATTGTTTTTCCCCGCATGTTCCTTTTGTACTTTAAGTACAGTTAAATTACTCTCTTACTGGTATGGTTTCTTTTAAGGACTACTTTGACACACTATCTAATGACCTTCTATGGTCATTCCATGTCATGATTGTCTAGTCTTCGATAAGAAAACCCATATTAATTATCTCACCAGACTAGGGGCGTCCCCCTTTTGTCCAATCATATCTATTCGGTGGTACCAAACCGAATTACATCTGTGCACAGATTCTAGGTTGCCATGCAGTCTATCTATTGGCCTCTAACTTTGTATCTTGTATACTACCAATATCCTGATATAAATTTATAAACTATTTTCACAATAGCTAAATAATGTGGTAACGCCCAAGGTAATATCTTGTATTTACTATTTTTTTTATATTTCAATCAATTTCAAAACTATGTGCATTCCATACAAGTTTAAAACCCAACTACGATACCTGCTTGGAGGAAGCATTGAGACGTGGCCGTACCTATAAAACCATTTTTGTTTTAAAAATAATTTTTCATTCTCTTATTTCTTTTCCATCAAATGCTTTTTCTCGATTCTTTTTTTTTAAGTTAGGTCAAAAGATCATTTTATAAACCAATTGCTCTGATACCAAAATGTAACACCCCACCCTGGATAATCCGAGTCATCCAAACCAGAGTGCTAGTAAAACCGGGCAACTTTTTAAAATATCATTTTTTTCGAAATATACTCTTTTTGATATCTAAAGAGAATTTAAAAAAACGTTTCCCGCGTAAATTTAAGGTAAAAACATCCACAGTTAATACAACCTTACCTTGGGTTCAAGCCCAAAAAAAACAAAGTAAAATTTAGTTCGATGTTTTATTCATTATTAAATATTAAATAAGAACTTCTTTGGTACGGCCTCCACGTCCAAGCTTTCCTCCTCAGCAGTCGTTCACCTTGCTAATACCTGCGTGCAGTTAAAAAAACTACACGCTCAGCAAAGCTGAGTGGCAAATAACCAATAGACATATATAACATGTAAACATATTTTTGAGCATTTTAGGTTATTCCTGTTTTATGAGCTTTTTGCATAATTAAAAATCATTAAATAGATAATATCACTTTGAGAAGTTATTTGGGGACATTTAGAAAACACTTGACCTACTAGGTTAACCACAGATTAGGAACTAAGCCATGACTAGGCTGGAACACCGCACTAGTCGATTCGTAGTTTTACTTCGGATACCTCCCCGTGACCTCGGGTCCAGTAATCAGAAGTGAACCCTAGACCCACGGGGTCATCGTTGGGTTCTCGTGCGCACGTTGTGGTATGATTATTTGTAGGCTCATCCACTTGGACACATACGATCCAGCCTTATAACATGTGGTTTGACCCACTTGATAAAACGTGACAATACCTGGTCAGGGTACGTCATTAAAAGAAACTTTAAAATTTTACTTTGTCCACTTGCTCTTTGGTTAACCATAGTATGATCATTCAAATAAATCCTTTTGACAAT